GTTCGACAAAAATTGATTTTCTGGCTTTATTAGGTATCAAAACGCATCAAACCCTAATAGAAATTTGTTTCTAAATGCCCCAGGAACCATACTACGTCGTCAAAGTGTCGAAATATTACACTTTGCATGCGCAGTAGAATTGACATAGGCGGCTCATGTACGTCTGATTAGAGTACGTCGCCAAAGTGCCGAAATATTCATTTTTCTATTTTCCTTGTATGCGCGTTCGGACCCTCATTTCTTAGGCTTAGTTCACCCGTTTCGCCGCTAGATGGACGCCAATTTTTTAGTCCAATAGAGAGTGTTTTCTATATTTACTGCACTATTTGTAACGGTTTGCTACTGCGCATGGGCTCAAAGTTCAAAATTGACCGTTGATTTCCAGGAGTGTATTTCAGCCCAGAGTTAAATATTTTTACCCCTTAAACCTGGACGGCTCAAGTTGGTCTCAATATGTCCAAGAATATTTTTTGAACGAAGATATATGTATAAAACTGTATATTTATTCGGAAATAGTGTTTTTAAAATGTATGTTTGAATATCTAACGGTGAGTGTTTTGCAATATTCGCAATAACGAAAATTCCAAGCGCGAGCAAATTCAATTTTTACATTAAAGTCTATGAGGATCGGGTTTTTCGTTGATTATTCCTCCGTGGCAAGTCCGATTTATAATTTTTTTTCTATGTCCATCTGGATGTGCATACGCATGTGCGTGCAAAATTTGATGAGAATTGGTCGAGTTGTGCAAAAGAAAAACGCGGACAAAGAAGTTGCAAAGTCAAGTATAAAAGCTTCGCTTGCCTTCGCCTCGCTCGCTCAAAAATATAGGATGACAATTCCTATATTTTTGTGAAAATTTAATTAACATTCAAATAAATGATTTTGATTGAAATTTGCTTCACGCGTTTATTCGCGAAATTTCGCACTTCTAAAATCGGTACCCGGATACCTGGTTACCTAAAGAGCATGTAAAGATTCGCAAAACTTTCAACTTTAAAATTGCTTTCTGATAATTTTATTTTTGAATTACAGTGAAAAATGAAAGTTCTCAAGAAAAGCTGATGAAGTATAGTCTTCCTATTTTTATGGCGGGAACGAGAATAATTAATCATGGAAGCAAAAATGGCTGCTCTGGTACCGATTGTTAAGGGACAAAATGGCTGACGCTGTCTCTCAAGGTAAGTACCTTTGAAATTGTGTAGAAAATATTAGAAATTGAAATATTACAATGTATTGAAAACTGAAATATTACAACATATTGAAAATATTACAAATTAAATTTATTATTAAATATTATGAAATGAATTTATTAATGAATGAATTTATTATTAAATATTATGAAATGAATTTATTAATAAATGAAATTATTATTAAATATTACAAATTGAAAGTTTGAATGAAAAATGATAATGCTTTAATCGTACATCTCATCGAAAGCATAGAAACTTGTTTTTCAGTTAATTAATCAAAATTAATGTCAATGGAGAAACGATTTATTAATTAAAGCATATTTTATCGTAATCAAACAATAAATAAATGATTTCTCTTCTAAGTGAACGTATACTTCGATCTAACAGCCATTGAAAAAAATTCGTCGAAACAAAAATTTCACTGGAGCTAATCAAAACACAATATTTTATAAAAATTTCTTTATTTTTTAATGATCATGTTATATGTATAAAACTATCCTCTAATTATGTAGTTTGAATAGCCATCTTTCTATGTGGGGAATATGAAGTATCCGTGTCGTTATACTTTCACAATTTGGTTTTTCTTTTCGATCGATTGATTTGTTAATCATATACTTTTTACAATAATCTAGTAATGTACCCGCACTAAAATTCAAGTGTAAACATGATTTAAACAAAAATGTATTATCAACAATGTATAAATTAATATTTTTAAAAATAATTAATGCAAGTCAGTTCGTCGTAAACAATAAAAGATGATCAATATTTTCTTATATTCTTTTAATCAAATTTCCTGTTGTGTTTGATATACGCGAGCATTTCAATTATATCTAGGGTACGATCTTTTTAATTGCAATAGGCGTGTATGTATTAATTATTGTTACAATCTATCGTATTTAAACTCCCTGATAGATATGCAGGATGTCTCATGAAACCATCGCAAATCAGTCTTCAAATTAAAAAAAATTTAATTCAAATTTAAAATTTAGTTGAACAATATATTCAACTCAATTCTAATATGTTGTCAACTCAAAGTGTACAAATTTTTGTTACAATCTTGTCAATATCAGTTTAACGAGGGTGTACTATAATCAATCTCTTGTACATGCATCAAAAATCTCTTTTTGAGAAAATTAATAAAACTCAATTGCTGAATGAAGAAACCTTGAGTTCCTTTTATAAGAATAGTGGTAGTTGAAATGTTTGAAACACTTCTATATAATTTTACCCCACGAAATTTTTGTCCTTCTACCATTTTACAGGTATAGTTTAACCCAGTTTCATGAAACACCCTGCATATATATTACAAATTTCACAGCTTTATTTGAATATTGTCACAATTGGCAACAAAATTTTGATTCATTATCCTTTTTGTACAGTACGATTAAGACTTTTCGTATCAAAGATCCATTTATTTTCCTTCCGTCACGGTTAGGTCAACTCCATGAGCATAACCAAGCTAACTTTAAGAAAAGGAGGAAGACTACAAAATTTAATCTGAAAATTTCATCAGATTTTGTTATTATCGTATAAACGGATTTTATACAATATCTATAATAAAACCACTTTATTTCATTTTCAAACTTTTCCAAGAGCAACATTTTATTTTCCATTGGAGTGGTAAAGAGAATTCAATTTGTTTTGGACGGAGGAAGTGCTTTCTTGGCCATACTCATGTTTAAAATGTATAACATATTTTTTATCATAAAATTTTATTCCAATGTTGCTTAACATTTTCCATCGTGTCATAATTCAGCAGGAACCATGCTTGTACATAAATGTGATGGTGTCTCTGTGTAAATGGACCCTTAAAGTCAATTTATACTAAACCGTAAAAATCACCGTAACATTACCTCTTCACATCGAATTCTCATCTATTCGAAATAAAAAATTTTTTGCTTGAAATCGATGAGAAAATTAGATATACACGTTAGAGTGACATTATGGTCTACCATAAATTGCTTTCTAATCATATGTACGAAAATAATGAGCGTATTGTTATCAAATTTCCGATCGATCGTCAATTTGATAAGACCATTTGAACTGAAATCGTTGCAATAGCGCAACAAAATTCATTTAGTCAAACAATAAACATCCTGTAAACGTTTTTTTTTCTTTTCTTTATCAAACATAGATTAGTTATTTTTTTTTAACAAGTTAAATATCAACATCTTTATAAACTTATTTTGTGCTCTTCCGTTTAAGTCGATATTATCTATAGTTATAGATTCTCTCTCTTCCTCTCTCTCTCCCTCACTTTATGCGCACTTTCTCTTTCTCTCTTTTCTTTTCCTTCTTTCTTTCTTTATCACACGTTCATTTGATCTGGCGATCGTAATCTTTTTCTCTTTCTCATCCATCTTTCATGCATTCATTACAAAAGATATTATTCTGCATCTTTGTATTTACAACAATGTTTACTTTGCATTTCCTTATATTTCAATTGGTACCGTATTAATTTAAGATAAATTTCACTCGTTTCTTGTTAACAATTTCTTGACGAATTAAGTTACAATCATGATATAACGAAAAGTATAATAATCCTTGTCTAATTATGAAACAGCACCAATTAAAAGTGAAAGCAACTAAATATTGCTTAGTGAATTCTTTTGCAGCTATAAAATATAAATATTACTTAATTCCTGCTTCTGTCATCGTTATTTGATTGTTCATTTAATATGTAATAAAAAAAAAATTATGCGGTCAGTTTTGAATAGATATTCATAATACACACTGTAAGGGTGTTTAAAAATAATTATACTTTTCGGTTTGATACTGTTTGTTATTTGGTAGATTAAATTCATTAATAAGTGAAACGCAGAAATTGGAAGAATTAGTCGATGTTTTTTAATAAAAAATTTGCTTCCTCTTTTTCGTGAGCTTGAAACTTATGTTATTGAAGAAAAATATGTGGAATTTATGCTTGGAGGTTTGATAAAGTTTTCGCAGACTCCTTATTTATTATTAATCTTAATCAGACTGTCAATTATTAATTTTATATACGTATTTACATTGTTTTTATTCGCTTTTTGTATTTAGTTTTTCTTGTTTCTATGTTGCATCACAAATTACAAAAGGATTAAAATACTAAATTTTATTGAAGGCACAAATATTTCATTTTTTATAATACTTCATTAATTACTGTCTAGTAATACTTCTTTCAACAGAAGAATTTCTCATAAACCATTGCTAGAAATTTAATTTTAAATTCCATGGTTCGCATACCCATTTCAAAATCTTGTATATCTTTCAGCGTAATACATTCTTCTTTTTTTAAATAATTACAATAGCAGTAGCAAAGCAATTTATTTTAAAGTTTTTGCTTAGTAAGTTATTACATATTATCTAATTTGGCATTAGAAAAGTTGACCTGCCAAATGTATATTTATATTTAGATCCTTTTCATTTATCAAATAAGTAGCAAAAATTGTTTGATAAAGTTTTCTTGGATTAAGAAAGCTTGGAGACCTAAAAAGAAGGATTCACGTGTATAATAACGATATACAATTACACTCTATCTGTATTTTATAAATATATTTAATTTGAATCGCATCATTATTTTAAAAAATTGTTCCCCAGCATATATAAAAATTGAAATATTTAGAAAGTAAACTGTATATTTGATGGCTATTAAATTACTATTTTTTCTTTAAATGTATACAGTAAATGTCTGATATTTCGTAGGAAAAATTTTTTACAAATAAAGTGCTCTACTATGCATACCATATTTATGCTCACACAGTGTCTCATTAAAACAAAACACAAAACGTTACATTAAAAATTGTTATCTTTAAAAAATATATAAAAATTTATTAATAATTATCGATCGTTATTAACTTAACATTTTATTAAATGATAAATTCAATACTTCGTTTATATTTAAATTTTGTTTTCATTTTTGAACTGCACTTGAGAAATATGCATTTTTTAATGTAACCGATGGAAGTTATGTTCTTTATCGCATTTAATGAATACACTGTGTACAACAAAGAACGACTTTTATATAAAGAAATCTAATATAAAGATGGGAAGACGATTCTTATAAGTTACATTACAGATCAAGTATTGCATATTGCAACATTCTTCTTAATGAATCAAGAGAAACTTAACTGCTGCTTTAATAAACAGAATAAAATGTTGATATGACAGTCTCATAATACCAACGACAGAGATGAGTATTCTTTCTTTTAAACACGAGACTTTGGCTCCATTCTACAACTGATTTACTTAAAGAAAAACAAACAAATTTATAAGTATTTAGATTTACAAATTGCACAACCTTATAATTAAAACAGTATTTTTTTTATAACATTTCAAACAAATATTTCAAATCCAAAATAAAGTATTTGTTCGTTCTTTTTTTTAATACACTTTATGTACTTTAAGAAAATTTTTACTTTTCGAATATTGTAAATGTAATTTTACATTTATATTCAAAAATCACTCTTTTCCATTAATATAATAAATCGAATGTATATCAATTTAAATATTTTACAATCAAGCGGATTGTCTGTGGTTCATGCCATGCGCGAGGAATGTTGATTTCATTTAAATTTTACTTTCAAGTAAATAATCCACACATAGATAATATCAAAATTATTTACTAAAAGAACTGCATGCTGTCGTCAAACAATTCAAGATTCTGTGCAACAATTTGTGTGACTGCACAACTTTCAACAATTGTAATAATCTTTTTATTACAAATCATATTTATTAAAATTTAATAAAAATTTTTCTGTATGGAAATAATGAATTACATAATAAAAATATGTATTTCTGTGTAACGGCAGTTATTTACTCCATACGTATAGCCTGAATAACAGATGCGTTACTTGATTGCGAAACTGGTTTGATACAACAGAATATTGTAAAATTTTGCAACAAATAACCGTCAACTTTATAAAAATCGAATATACATATAAGAATTTCTACAAAACAGAACATAATTTCGAAACAAATGTTTTCAAACAAAATTTATTTACAAAAAGAAAGATTGTCACACGCGTTCTTCGTGACAGAAAAAAGGAAATGTATGCTGGAGCATACAAAATTTGTCATCCGTCGTTGGCGCGTTATTAAAACATACGAAAAATACAAAATATGTATTTATACGATAGATAAAAACCATAATGCTCTGTTGACAATATGTTAGCTAAACATTATTATCTAATAATTATTACACGATTAACTGCTCTATAAGCAAAATGGTCAACTCATGATTTAAGTACACTTTCATTACCGGGATATAAGACATTCTGTGCCTTATTCTTAAGTAAACGCAGAACAATACAAAATACTGGTTGTGTTATTATTATAATAATCATCAAGTTTAAAACTTTGTATTCACGGTTTACTTGAACAGATTGAACCTATCTAATAAAATTTAGCATTTTTATGCTATTTGATACCAACTCCCTTTCTCTTTCTCTCTCTCTCTCTCGCTCTCTCGCGCGCTCTCTCTCTCTCTCTTGCGCTCGTTCACTCGTTCTCTCTTTCTCTCCCTCTCTCTCAATCTTTCTATCTCTGTACATCAATATTATTGTAAAAGTAAATGCTCTGCATCTCTCCTTCGATTTATACTTTCAGTCTGTTTTGCATAAAAATATGCATGCTGAACATTTCGAGCATACCATAGGCCGCTTCGAAATTTGTGTATTTCAAAGTGGGTTCGCATTATGCAATAACCCGCATGGAAGCATTTTAAATAAAAAAAGAACAAAAAAAGAGAGAAAAATAGTTTTTCATCCGCTGTATGTGACAAGCAGTCAACCTCTAATTAGTTCTATAAGAATGTAGTCCCTTCACCCTGAACTAAAGTATCATGGACCATAATGTTTATTGATTTCTTTCTAGTTTTTCTGCTCCTTGATTATCTAACATATCCAATTCCCTAAGCTTATGAACTCTATAAGCATGGAATCTGAAAAAATAGAACAAAATATTATCTCTAGGTTAATTTTTATATGTATATTGTCTACTATATTTATTATTTGTTACTATTAATTGTACAGGGTAATTCACCTGAATGTCTCATCTACATTACTTGTTAGTTACATTAATACTTGAAATCTGTAATGAATGAGAGAGTCAGGAAGTAAACATTTATGGATATAATATCTGTCAATGCAGTCCTTTTGTGAATAATCAATTGTGCTTAAGGAACAATATCTTGATAATTATTAATTACTGAGCTCATACTCTCTAAATACATTCTACACAATACTTTTTTAACTTTTTTATGAAACAAATAATGTAAGGCATTAAACTGAATTACACTGTATAAAATATTATTTAGCAACTATGAAATCAATAAATTATTGCTTTGCAAATAACTCACGGCATTATTTAGTACTGGTGATAATTCAGTGATCTCCTCTTAATAATTCCATCAACAAATTAAACGAGCTGCCTTCACCTTCTGCACGTTTTGCAGTTAACAATTCTTTTCCTGCCTGGCATGTTCTTTGTAAATCTGGAATTCTTAACAGTAACTCGCCAAATTTGGCAGGCATCTCTGGGTACCTTGCTATGGTATATTGTTGCAATGCCTGTAAAGCCTTTTCCTGAGATGCTCTAACCTTTTCAGGTTCCTTCAATTCACTTGTATCACTGGTCAACAACACTATTACCTTTATGCAACAGAAATTGAGAAGAAATTTATTAAGTCTGAAATATATATTAATTCAATGTTAATAACATGGTAATTCAAAGTAATAATTAAATCTGTAATTACAATAGTACAACTTACAACTTACAATTTTAAAAGAAAAAAAAAATTTCAACAATGAAATTAGTGATATGTATTTACGAGGAATATTTGAACAATATTATTGTTTAAAAATCAAAGCTCTGTTAAGGGAGAACAACACAGTGATGCTTATATAGAGCGTGTTCTTACTTTCAGAAGATATACAGGCTTCATTGAAATGTCAGTGATAAGGTTTAAATGTATATGTATTTGACACCTCTTAAGAATCAACATTTACTGATTATAAACGTAGGAATTTCTTTGAATATACGTGCGTATACACGGCACAGCGATATGAATGTAACACGTGTCTTTGATATAACGTTATCAATTCAATTTGTATTTTCAGCCCATATTAAAATATACATAGGATAGTTTGCTTGTAAGGTGCTATTTGAACAATAATATTTTCTATTTTGTTTATAATTTAATATTAGTTAAAACATTAGTTAAAAATGCCGATGTTTGCTAATTGTCACTGTGTTTTCCCTTAACATATTGTACAATATATCTTTATTTAAAAATAATTGAAAAGAATATGAAAAGGTGTTTGAAGTTATAAAAAAAAATTTTTAATTTTATTTTACGATCAGTTATGAATGTTTTATTGAACAATTACCTTCATCGCTACATATTCGTACTGATCCACTCTTAGCCTTCTCAAATTGTTAGTAAATGCAAGCATCCTCTCGATGCAAGTCGCCAAGCCAAGCTGTCTAGCCTGCTCTAATGTAATCGACTTGCCCAGAGACACTCTGATTTCACCGGGAGTACTCATACTGCGAAAGCAGCACGAGAAGAGCAATAGCTCGCACCAGGAGTTAATTAACAGACAGATTTGATCGTCAATGGAAATGTTTTTAAACAGCGGCAGACTCTTGCACCATTTCACTATTTTATACAGTCGATGATCAGCAATGTTACAAAGGTTCGATAGAAAATCAGGATGCTGGGTAGAATTGCCATTCGTATTGCTACCAATCTGGGAACTACTAGTAACAGATGTAGCTCGTTGTTCGTTATTAACAGCAGAAACATTAGAACATGACCTGTCGTCTCTCCTGTTGTTGGAATTTCCATTTCCAGCTGTTCCATTGGAGGGACACTCAACACTTCCGTCACTTCCTGTTCCGGATCCAGAACCAGTCCCGGAACCAACTCCTAATAACATCGAATCGTTATTTCTGGTAGCATTCATTCCAGCTTGAATTCCAGACATGCGATCATTGTCATTGTAATGCCACAGATGTTCTACGTCCATAATGTCTTGCAAAAGTTGCGGCACCACCTGTATCTTGTGCGAATGATTCGAGTGATGTCTACTGGGATAGTGATGTTCACTTCCCGATGGAGCTGGACTACAATTCCCTCCCGTGGCCAATTTGTCACTAGTCATACTGCTCGCAGAATTACTCACAAGACTTGCTGGAAGAGTGTACGTACACTGATAGGTACTTCGTCCGCCCCTGGTGCGATCTTCTCTAATAGCCTCAAGCTTCATACCTGTTAACAACATTATATTTTGTTTTAAATAGAAATAAAAATATATTGGAGTTTAATATTTTTCTTATGGGTTCTTCTTATCGTTAGAAGAACCCATTGATGGAACCTAATTACTATGTCATTAGTCAGTCTATAGGTACTAAGATGTTGAAAATTAGTCTTGACATCTATATCTAATTCTATATGACTATGTAGGATGTGATCACCTATGATTATAGCAGTGAAATCATTAGATCTCCGCATGAATCTAAGCTTAATCTAACTTTAATCATAACTTTTGAACAGGAGGGTACCGACGATTTATATCCCTAACGATCCCTCGAGTTATAAGCTTCTTATTGATGTACCACACTTCCTGCAAGCTATTGTCCTAAATACTTCGGCTAGATTACAATTCTTATATAAGTACATGATTACTAACGAGGTGAAGCTAATAAGATATTATTTAGGAAACTGAAATTTATAGCGTAGCATGATATAGATATAGCAATTAATTAGTGTCTCGATTTCATGTATAACTTATTTTTCGTAAAACATAAAATCTCTGGTATTAACTCTTTCATGCTGAGTACGTATGAAGACATTTATGTAAACTGATTTTTCTGAATCGTTATTGACATAATACATCATTTGTGTAATCTTCATGTGCAAGTATATTGAACTAAATATTTAACAACTAAAGATAATGTTCTCTGAACATACCCATATTGAGGCACTTGTCAAAACGACAGGCTGGGCACTTCTTTCTGGTGGCAACGGTGACTGGACAGCCCGCGCCTCTAAGGCACACATAATTTTTCCGGTTTTGGACGGTGCGTTTAAAGAATCCTTTACATGATTCACACGAGAAGATTCCATAATGGAAACCGCTGATCTTATCACCACAAATTGGACATGGACTATTGATCAGTTGTTGTCTAGTGGAGATACTGGAAGGAGCTGAGGGTATTCGACAGTCTTCTTGATCATCAGGAGCGGTATGTCCTTCAGGGGAGAGTTCAGAACCCGGTGTGGAGGAAGAATAATGATGAGCAATGGACGAGGCTGTTGCTGGCAGATGAAGTGGACTTCCCTGGGCCACCTGGTGCTGATGATGTTGCGGATGTCTTGGTTGTTGGACGGGTGAATGCGTAGGTGGGCTAAGAGAACCGTAGCTGTAACAGCTGCTTGATGCATCCGAATTGTTCCTCGACAGAGAATGCGATAGTGACAACGATAAAGAGGAAGTTGAATTGTTGAAGCTGTGTCGCGAGAGAGAAAGCGACGAAGACGGTACCGGACTTCCTGCTCCTAAAGCAGAATGGCGAGCTGCGTGAGGGCTCTGTGTTGGCGAACTAAATACGCTGTATGCCGAGTGAATTGCGGAATCTGGAGACGGCACCTAATGAAAATATTTAGGAGAAATATTAACAAGTGTTAAATTTATTACATTACTAGTATCACGAGAAGCAAATTTTAACATAATTTTTATCTCTTTACGTTAAATATCAGTAAATATTAAGTAACCAAGAGGCGTCATTATGATTTTTGATGACCTTAGCTGACCCATGTTTTTCTATATAGAGTGATGTTCTGAATATCTATATGAATATTTAAGAAATGAAACTGTCTTACACAGTTTACTTAATTAGTTGAATTTGAAAGTGACTGAATTTAGTTTGTCACCGTACAGTGCTGAAATTCCACACGAAAAAATCGCTAATGACACCCCTAAGATGACTGATTCAAGAAAATCTATACACTCTATCAAAGTGATTTCTGTTACCTGTGATCTCGTATGACTATGTTTAGTCAAATGATGTCTAGGATTTAAAACTGGACTGTGATTTGGAGTAGAACTATTGTAACCACCCAGTAGTTTCCCTACGAGAAGAGGCAAATCATTTTGTTGTGTTTGTTCAAGGTTCTCTATGTTGCGTTGTTGTTGTTGTTGCATCTGTTGACCATGTGCCAAAGGTAATCCAGTATCATGAAAAGAACCAAATGCAAATCCAGGACTAGACCTAAAGTCAGGTTCTGGTTTTATAGGAAATTTTTGCTCTATAGGGCCCGGACTCGCACCGCAAACTTGGACACCTTCCATGGATGTGTCCTCATGTGTATCCTACAAAGAAATAATTGCAATCAAACTTGAATCTAGTTTATTCTCTGTTTATGTATGGATCTAGCAATGGCTACGTTCATAATAAACCAGAATTATGAAAACGACAAAATTCTAGAAATTAAAGGACTATATTTTAGTGTGAAATTCAATGTTACCTGATTTGTAATTGTATTGGAAGACATTTCTTGGTCAGACAATTCACCTTCCCATGACATGGGTCTCTCTGGTTGTTGCTGGGAGATATCATTTCCATCGTAACAACCATTTCTATCTTCGGCATCTCCGTCACCTATTTTCTCTCCACCCTGGTTCCCCGGCAAGTCTCGTTTCTTCTTCGTACGCAAGTTCACTCCACGAAAATCAATCTTGCTTATTTCTACGTCGCTATCTTCTGCATCGTCATCCGCAGTGTTTTGAGACTGAAGGACATTAACTCCAATGCCAATCCCGATGCTGTGCGAGGCGTTATTGATGCCGATCCCTGTGGTGGATACAACATTCGCATTTCCACAGTCCAATACGGAGCCACAGCTTGAAACTACGGACACTGTGACGCCATTCTGGCCGGTTAGATACTTACAAATGCCTTTGCCTAAAAATTAAAAGTCGAATTTACATATCTCAGCATTTTAAGTCGCACTCGTTATATAATTCTATTTTACGTGGCACGCAGACTCTTCATATGAAGTTAGTTTTACTTTTATCTTTTTGTTAGTTTAACTAAAATTAGTGGCGATGAACCTTTTTGCAAGTTTACATAATGCCAAATTCGGATACTTTTAAATTTAGAAATGTTCAAACGAACAGTGGTCTTCTGGCATAATTAATTACCATCGTGTATATCCTGATTGTTCGGTACGTTAATCGTGGTGACAGAAACGTTCTTTCCTGTTTCCGTGGAACGGGCAGCCGTGATCGTACACGAAGGTCCGCTAGGAGTCGAGGAACAGCAACTTGTCGAGGAAGTAGTCGAAGTGGTAGTCGTCAGGGAAGAGGTAGAAATGGTGCAGGAGACAGAGACGGAGGCGGAGCTGTCTGGAGCAGTGGAAGTACTGGATGAGGAGACGGATGCACAGGAGTTCGTTTTCCAGGACTGCGAGGCTGGCCACCAAGCGGGGCCTGGTCCTGGTCCTGGTCCTGGGCCCTCGCTGGGCCCGTTTTGCTCCGACATCCTCAGCTCGTTATTCTGTTACACGCTCGTGACGCGACCCGAAGTCTTTGAACGGTCGCGAAACCTTGCGGCATCCTGGGAAGAACCTCTCTAGCTGCGCGGTTACCAGTCTCCGCGGCCCTTGAGCAAACTGCCAACTTCTTTGGGTCACATCCGCTCGAATTCGAACATAGGGAAAGGCTCTGCCTGGAAATGGATAAAAATTTATTGGAAAATAACTTTTACTTTTAACTCTTTCTATTACCTATCAACTCATTCACAAAATAGATCAAGAAGGGGGTTCTGAATTAAATGTATTACTAGTGGGGGTGCAACAGAGTATGTGACTATTTATTATAAATAGTAAATAAATGAAGATATATTTAACCAATCCATTTATCTGAATTATTTATGAGGTCCAAGAGAAATATGATGCCGAGTCACATTCGACATAGGAGTGCAAAGAGTTAATATGATGCATGGTTTTTCATTTATTTGCAGTTATATGACAATGAGAAATTTAGAACAAGGAGATGGACTGTACAGTAGATGTCAGTAAAATTTTGAAAACAGTGTGTGGAGCACATTTCTTCTTTTTACCATATTTTAGATGATAAGACAAATTCGAAATGCATATTACTAATATTTTAATGTGTTACTTCTGTCGTGGAAGGTAGAATAAAGTGCATTAAATAAAATGCATATTTCTTATGATCTCACGTGGTTACATTGAGTAATTCCTTCAATGTCAAAGATTGTTTACACTGTCTTAAAGTCAACGACAAAATATTTCACATTTCAAGGTGACCTCGATTTCGTCATGAAAATAAACTGTGCTTGAATTATTTTTTTACTGACGCATATTGTATGCACCATGCATCTCATGTTCTAAACACTAAATCAAATCATTTGAGCAAAAGATCATGCATCGCGTTACAACTAACACTGAGAAAACAATTTCGAAGTTACTGCATAAGGTGAACGTTCTCATTATGAGTTATTTAATACTGAAATGACTCATAATATTCTTTTACTTAAATTCTGACTTAAAATAGTCAGAATGACCGGTTTACAAGTCCCTTATTTAAAGAAATAATACAGGTTTAAATGTAGGTTAATGTAAGTTTATTCTTGTTTAGTCATTTGTTTATTAATTTTCTTAAGATCGTTTTTAGTTCTAAATAAATTGTATGTCTTATATGGAGGTTTAGCATTATCGTCTTAGCTTATAATATGAAGTCAAACTTGTGACGCACATTGCAGTTTAAATATGAAAAACTTAAATCCTATTTGCTCAAGGATTGAGTTTTCAGTATAACACCGAGTATAATTTGAACAGTTAAAGATTTCTGAAAATGTATATAATCTTCCACAAAATTTTAATCCGAAATGTTATATAGTAATGAACAATTTCAAAATACGGCATAATAATTTTGAAAAGAATATCACTATTCTTGTTTCTACATTGATTCAAAGGTGTACGTTAAGGTAGTAGTGTTGTATAATTTTCAAGCACCCTATATAGTGACCACGGTGAGTGCGCAGTGTCTGGATGATCAGTCAATTCTCGGATTGCAATCAAGCAGAAATCAACCATTAAGCAAAATAAGCACGTGCTTGGGACATCAAGGAAAGACGCCACCACAAAAATTTCCTACTACGGAATTAATTAATCGCATTTTTCGAACTCTCAGGTCTTAAAATTCAAAAATTCCAAAGTCATCTCAAAATAGCTCCAAAGTCCATCTTGGAAATTGCAAGGTTTTAAATTTCTAAAATTCCAAAGTCTTAAAAACCAAAATGTCTCAAAATTGTCTCATTCAAATGTTTTATTCCAATGTCTCATTATACTACAATTTAAAAATTCTAAAACCATGAAGTTTCAAACTTAGAAAACTTCAAAATCTGAAAATTCTAAAATTTTTATAGTCTGAAATCTGACGTTCTAATATCTTGAAATCATAAAATCGTAAGAACCTACAAATTTATAATCCTAAAATTCTGAAACTGTCTGCGTATTTAGAAGTTGAAGTTAAATTGATTTGAAGCAAAATTCATTTAAAAAAAAGCGTAAATATGTATCACAAAACTTTATGAAATACAAAGTGTCATGAGTTAAGTTCAATGCAGAAATCGATAGAAACAGAAAAGATTTTCGAATAAAAGCAGTGATCACGATCGAAGACATATTAGGTTGCAAGAGTTTACCGACCGTCTAGGGAAGCTATGGAAGTGATTGTACACATCCAAGTTCTACTAGTGTGCACAGACGGTCGTCCCGCAAGGCCGGTCCACTTCCGGTCCGGCAAAGCTGAAGGCTTTAATCGACCTTCATGCGGAAACGCAAACGCAAACACGCTGCGTACTCGCACCTTTTGTTTGCAGCTGATCACGCAACACGATATAATGCACCAGACGGAGAAAAACTGGAACAAAATCGCCTTCTGTATCCGTTACAACTGCTTAATATGTTAACACCGTTAATTATTTCCAGAAGACACTACAAAGGCGTAGCTTAGTACCCGTTAGATAGGAGCTAACGTACTCTGAGACACAGTTTAAACGTACTACATCTTGACATTAGATCTACCTGCACATAATGCACACTTAAAAAACTATAATTAACTATTCCATCTTTTTTGAAAAGATGAACGTTCACTTTCTAAAAGGTGAACAGTAAATGAGAAAGATTGAACTTTAAATAAATGGAGTTAAACGCTGATCAAATGCATCACTGCAATTCTGCAAATTATAATAAACACGATACCATGAATATAATATTTAAAATTAGAAGATTTATGATTAAACATAACCCATGTAATTTATAGACTATAAAATCACGTTACGTGATTTGTGAAAAGTTTACAGGCGCAAAGCAATAAATAGTTTGCGGACCTCGACATAAATGCAAAACGTTTTAACTTTTTTTAAGGAGATAGATTATGAATCTAACATATGTGACTAACATCTTATACAACATATTGTAGGAATTGTGAGGTACGAAGGTAATAGTGCAGGTGTGTGTGCATTATGCAAGCGTTTGTAAATTGCGATTTCGAGAAAAAGTAAAGTTATTTCTTACTTCAGTTTACTGAGTTTGCATACAGTCCACAAGAAGTGAACCGTATAATAAAAGCGAAAGAGTAAAAGTACTGGTTAGAAAAATTGTGAAAAAATTGATTTAAAACTGCAATATTATACGTGTATATAGTAAAATGATTGTGTAAAGAGAACATAAAGAATGTGTTAACACATGGCAGGCTTGATATTTTATTACTAACATCCAGTCGCCAGCTCTGCCATTTTCAAACTATTGCGTTGACCAGATGATTCACGAGAAACAGAACACCTAAATATTTTTGTTAGATTCGAAGATAGTGTTAGAGCAAAAAATTATACTGTTCAAGGAGACAAATACAGTGATTTAAAATAATTTTCTAATTTTCCATGCCTTTTAAAGGTCAATTTTTAACAAGGAAAATGTATTTTTGACTTCGTAAGAGTTATACAATAACATGAAGTTACTTTTCTCTTCATTTAGACAAAGTTTTATTTAGAAAATATTTTTAAATAGCAAAATGTACTATTGACTCCATAAGAGTTATACAATAACATGAAGTTACTTTTGTCTTCATTTAGACAAAAGTATTTGTACTTAATATCACATATACTTAATTTTTGTAATTTGAAACAAGGAGTCGGAGATGTGACATTTTTAGGCATTCCGTAAACTCAGTGTTAAAGAAAGTGCTTGGTATTAAAATATCAAGTAATCAAAATTTTGTTTGCTGGCGAAAAAATTTATTTATTAAAGAAATCTCGAATGTTAATCAACAAAATAATTTCCATCATTTTCAAAAGGCAATTGTTCGTGTCCGTTCCTAAAAAAAGTCCTTCGCTTTTTAATTGGAAAACTTTGAAGTCATCGAAGAAATTTTGAATACTAGGTACCCCTAATATACATATAAAACGATAAGTTCCGGTCGAGTCGAAAGTAGCTGGAATTTTCGTGGCGAATTAGTCGCTCGAAGAAGATGAAGAGGATTAAAGAACACGGACATTGAGCATCAGACGATTGTATTGGCACTCTTGAAGGTTCGTAGAGGCCACGACGATGGTAGTTACAACTACGGCTGCGACGCCGATGGTAAGGTCAAGGCCCTCTACAAACGCCCTACCCAACTCCAATGTACCTTCGTGGTCACGTGACGTGACTCAAGGTCTTTTCTCCCTACTCTGACTGGCACACCGGCCATGCCACCCGCCATGCCATCCACCGCGATGCACCAACATCGCTCTTTTTCGTATATTTCAGCAAATGCACAACTTCAACTTCAACTTCTTGCGAAATTCTACTCTTTGTGTACAACAAACCGCTCTTAACTGTTCCTTTATACCGTAGAAAAATCAGGTGTACAGTTAGATGCTTGAGCACACGCTGCAAAGGGATCATTTATTCGATTAAGGAGTCTGTTCGTAAATGAAATTAATCCAGGGGTTTAGCGGACTCTTCAGAAAAGTATTTATTCCAAAAATTAAGAGATGCAGCATATTTTAATGTTTAAGAGATTGTCTTTTCTCGAAACAGAATGGGGAGACAATGAATACTAAACTTGGTTAAAAATGTCAGAATTTTAGATTGATCATTCTACTGTTGGTAGATGAAACAATTTTCATTTCTTGAGGAATTAATTTTCATTTGTTGATGAATTAATTTTTATTTGTTTTATATTTTGGAAATTAGTAGGGCTAAAGTTTGATAGCAGGGAAAGGAAGTTTCTATTATCGCATAGGTTGTTATGACACACGACTTTTGTTAACGCAATGTGTAATAGTTACAGAAGATAATATGTTCCATGTTAAGTGAATTTCGATGAAAGAAACTAACCATTTTAAAAACGCTAATTTGGTAAATGTATACAGTTACTGACGGTTCCTAGTCAATGTATACATTCAATGATTTGGTTAATAAACATACGTGCAAGAAACGAAATGTATATTTTGCATAGCAAAAACACACATATATATTTCTAATTTATTAAAAGAAAAAAATGCATTAATTTTGAAAAACATTTTTGCTAGTAATTATATGAATCATTTAGATACGTAAGATCAAAGATTATTGTATAGAAAGGCACAAGTATTAGAATATTCGTTTTTGTGATACTCGGATTTATTATAAAAAAATCAATCTTAACGTATCAATA